ATATATTACACTCTGCCCCTCCTCCAGGTCACTCATTTAGATATTAAGTAATTGAGGCCCCAGACTGATTCTTGTGCCACTGCACTAGTTAAAATTTTCTGACCCAAAAAAGACCCATTAATTCTGACTCTGTGGCTCAGTGGTTAGTACTGCTACCTCACAGCGTCACGGACCCTGGTTCGATTCCGCCATTGGTTGACTGTCTGTGTGACACATTCTCCCCATGCCTGCATGGGTTTCCTCCAGGTGCTAGATGCAGGCTAGGTGGATTGGCCATGCTAAATTACCCATAGTGTCCAGGAATGTGTAGGTGGGTTAGCCATGGGAAACGTGGCGTTACGAGGATAAGGCAAGTGGATGGGTTTGGGTGGAAATACTTTTCGGACAGTCAATGTGGACTCAACAGGCCAAATGGCCCGCTTCCACACTATAGTGATTCTATGTGTTAACCACTCTTCCATCCGTGATCATCCATTGCCCCAGTACAATGATGACCTATCTTGTGTAATAATCTTTCATGTGGCATTTAGTACTGAATGCCTTATGAAAATCCAAATGCACAACATCTACTGGTTCCCTTTTATCAACTCTGCTTGTTTTATCCTCAAAAGAACTCTAGTAAATTTGTCAATCATGATTTCCCTTTCACAAAACCACAATGACTAGGTTTGATAGCATTAAGCTCTTCTAAAGACCTTGTTATTTCTTTCTTAATAATGGACTCTAGAATTTTCCAGAACTTTCCCAAAGACAGATGGTGGACTCACTGGCTTATATTTTCCTCTCTTCTGTCTCTCTCCCTTCTTTAACAAGGGCGTCATATTAACAGTTTTCCAATTCACTGAAACCCTCCCTGAATCCAGTGAGTTCTGGAATATTTTGACCATTGCTTCCACTACCCCTATTGCCACTTTCTTTAAAACCTTTGGATGTAAGCCATCAGGTCCTGACTTGTCTGCCTTTAGTCCAATTAGTTTGCCCCTTGTGATACAGACTGTTACAAGATTATCGCTCCATTAGCATCTTGCTTATCTGTTCTATTCAGAATGTTTATTGTACCTTCACTGTGGAGGCTAATGTAAAATATTGGTTTAATACTTTCCTTATGGTTAAATTGGTGAGTGAATAAATTTGGCATTGCTAATGGACCCAAAAAAAAATTAACAATATTACTCTATAAATTTCTCCCAATTTTAAACTGCTGAAAGAAGCATTGAATGTAAGCCATGACTTACTAAATCCTTGTTAATGGTGATGATGGCTACATTAATTTGAAATAGGAAAAGTAGCGTTGAAATCGTCAAAGGCCAAGGAAAGCACACTCTTTTCCAATATCTTATGTTAACAAGTATTATGCTGGGAAAGAATATAGAAATTGTAAATACGAATGTAATATTGTTTAACTAACATCAGTTTAGGGAGAGTGGTTGTATCAATCAACTAATAATCCAGATGTTCAAACTTATGCTCTGGGTATATGGGTTCAAATACAACTGGGTAGATGGCAGAGTTTCAATTCCTTAACAATCTGGAATTGAAATTTAGTATCAATAAAAATTACTTCAAAACTATATCAATTATGGTAAACACCTATGTTGTTCACTGATATTCTTTTACTATCAAAGGCAATTAGGGATGGGCAAAAAATGCTGCCTTTGCCACTGATACCTCATCCCATGACAATTTCAAGTCAATATCTGCTATCGGACAATGGCCAACTGAGTGTATTTATTTTAATTAGCTGGCTGACACAAAGTGTACTAAATACTGAAATGTACTTAATTTACTTAGAACTAAAACCAAATTACTCAAGGCTTGGAGAAACAAGGCAATCAGTGTGAAAGAGGAGCAGATGAGAATGAAATACCTGCTGAGTTTTTCCAGCAATTTTTGTTTTGTTTCTGATTTCCGACATCTACAGTTCTTTGGGGTTTTTTTTTGTTTAGCACAAGAGAACACCGGGTAAGCATTTTCCAGGGAAGAGAGGTCACGGAGTAGAAATGAAGCAGTGAAAAGTAAGGAAACATGCAAGGGGCAAACTTTCATCTTGTGCGTGAGAAGCAAAGATTACAATACAGAACGTATCTGATGACAAATAATGGCAAAAGATTTTTTTTATTCACTCATGGAATTTGGCATGACTAGCAAAATCCTTTATTTCCCATCCAGAGCAGCCCTCAAGAAGGTAGAGAAAAGACAGCTTCTTGAACTACTTCAGTCCTTGTGATATAAGTATACTCACAGTGCTGTGAGGGAAAAAGTTACAAGATTTTGAGCCAATGAAAATGGATGGAGACAGAAATTTGGTAAATTTCTGAAATTTAACTAAAAGTAAAACTGCACAAATAAAACCACAAATAAAATTACAAGTACTTCCAGGAGTAAAATAATGTTACAGTTACAGAAATAGAACAGGAACTCTGTATGCAAGAAAATGGCAACATTGTAATCGTGATATAAATAAACAATGCACGTACACAAAAATTTTTACTAAAGTGAATGTTGCAGCTATCATTTAACTGTAAGCTAGCTAATTTTATGGCAAAATTATTTCATTTATGAGATTGCTTTGTACAAAATTTATAATGTAACAAGGAAGCACAAAAAAATGATTAAGAAGGCCAAGAGTATGGTAGACCTTAGATCTAAAGGAAAGAACTGCAGATGCTGTCAATCAGGAACAAAAACAAAGTTGCTAGAAAAGCTCAGCACGTCTGGCAGCATCTGTGAAGGAAAAGACAGAGTTAACGTTTCGGTCTGGTTCTGAGGAAGGGTCACGGGACCCGAAACGTTAACTCTGATTTATCCTTCACAGATGCTGCCAGACCTGCTGAGCTTTTCCAGCAACTTTGTTTTTGCTCAGACCTAAAGGGCTGTAATATCAAGGGAGAAGTAGTTTTGTTACAGCTATACAAAGCCACAGCTAATCTGCATTTAAATACTGCATACAGCCTAGGGCAGCACCTCTTAGTTATATTTTCCTTGAAAGGCGTTAACTGTAGATTCCCTGGAATGTTACTGGGGGCTCCAAAGGTTAAATTGAAAAAAAATGCCACAACGATGCCACTCGAAGGTTGCAGGAATAGAACTCATATTCCGCTCGGGAACCCTGCAGCCCAATGGTATCGATGTGGATTTCACAAGCTTCAAAATCTCCCCTCCCCCTACCGCATCCCAAAACCAGCCCAGCTCCTGCCCGCCTCCCTAACCTGTTCTTCCTCCTACCTATCCCCTCCTCCCACCTCAAGCCACACCCCCATTTCCTACCTACTAACCTCATCCTGCCCCCTTGACCTGTCGGTCCTCCCTGGACTGACCTATCTCCTCCCTACCTCCCCACCTACACTCACCTTTACTAGCTCCATCCCCGCCTCTTTGACCTGTCTGTTTCCTCTCCACCTATCTTCTCCTCTATCCATCTTCTATCCGCCTCCCCCTCTCTTCCTATTTATTTCAGAACCCCCTTCCCCTCCCCCATTTCTGATGAAGGGTCTAGGCCCGAAACGTCAGCCTTCCTGCTCCTATGATGCTGCTTGGCCTGTTGTGTTCATCCAGCTCTACACCTTGTTATATCATAAATTAGGCTTGTTTTCCCTAAAATATGGAAGATTATGGTGTGATTTAATATGGAGTTACAATTTTGAAAGGAGTGGGAATAAACTAGACTTGTGTTCCCTGGAATATAGAAGGTTATGGTGTGTTTTAGTAAGGGAGCATTAGGATTTTGAAACTAATAGGTACGGTAAACTAAATTAAAAAGTTATCTGCTGGTGGGGACAAGGGGACACAACCTTAGAATCAGAACCAATTAAATGAATGATATTTAAGCAGAGAAGGAAACAGAAAATGCAGAAGAATGTGGGGCGCATTAGAGTCAAATCAAGCAAAGACATAAAAAAAAAGGAAGAGACTGAATTGATAGAGGAGTAAAAAACAAAAGTAAGGAAAAAATGGAGCCTTTTAAAAATTTTGAAAACCTCTGGAAACAATTTGCTAATTACAAGGAAGAGATTATTGTTTGTTGTTGCCTTTGTCAATTGAAGAGGTTGGGTGGCATTAACTGCCACTTAAATGCCAGCTCTTAAATGATACAGTTCAGTAAGTAATCTCACTGAAGGGATAGTATGTAAGGTGCCACACAATCAAAAAATGCTGTTTAAAAAGGCAGTTGTCATGCTTTTGAGATACAAGTTACTCAGCTGCAGAACTTGAACTTCTATTTCTCTCTTTGGCTCTAGAAACTTACATTAATCAAGCATAGCATGTATTTACAGTGCATACAT